TTGTTGTTGTTGTTGTTGTTGTTGAATGAACATTATTAGTGTTTTTTTCTTGCTTCAATCATTCATTTAAAAAACAAAAAACCAAATGAAAAACAAACGTAAAACAAAAATTCATTGATTTTTTTTAATTTTATTATTTATAAAAAGAAAATATTAAGAATTTGAAATTTATAAAAAAAAAATAAATTTGATTTGATTAAAATATAAAAATGAATTATGAAAAACTTTGACTTGAATTCAATAATTTTATTAATTGCAATTTACACACATAAGACAACGATCTCGATCCGGTAGTTTTTCAATTTTTCAATTTTTTTCGATACCGTAATGTTGACAAAACATCAGGTGTAAACCTCCTGATCACATCGTTATGTCTATACTTTTTTTTAGGAGCTTGACTCCATAGTTTTATTAATATTTTGAGAAAAAGAAAAAAAGGAAACAATTTAATGATAAAATCATTTTATTTAACCATTTTCATTTATTCAAATTTTTTAAATATTGTAAAATGTACAATATTGCTTATATTATCTGATCTGGTTGTTGTGGTTGTTGTGGTTGTTGTTGTTGTTGCTGTTGTTGTTGTTGCCGGTGAATCAATTTCGGGGCGGTAATGCCTGCCCCTTAGGATTCTATACTTTCTTTTTGCGTTAACATCTTCGATCCACTTTATAATTCGCTCGCGTTTGCTCTCCATTTTGGTTTTTCTTTGGATTGCTGGAGAGTAAATATGAATTTAAAATCATGGTTTGTTCAAACATTTATATATGAAATTTGTATACTTATTAATTTTATTAATTTATCATTCAAATAAATTGAATTTGATTCATTGATTATATTAATTCATTCTTAGCGAACAGTTATAACTTCATTTGTTATGAATTTTGGAATGTCTGGGTCAAAGAAACTTTTAAATGTCACATTTGAATTGGTCATCAGATATTGGAATTTTGTTTTTATGTGGTGTTCTGTTACATTAGAGATATGGATAGTGATTGAAAGTTCTTATTTTCGTTGAGTTGAATCACTAAAGGTTTAGTGCAATTTCTTTTGATTTCATTCATTATAAAGTGTTAAGTGTGTTGTGTATTTACTTGTATTATGTTAGTTTGTGTTGTGCTTAATGATTTGTCTGTAATAAAGTTATTTACACATTTTTGAAAATTTATTGTATTGTTGTTTTGATTTTGTGTTATGAATTTTGGAATGTCTGTGTCAAAGAAACTTTTAAATGTTACATTTGAATTGGTCATCAGATATTGGAATTTTGTTTTTATGTGGTGTTCTGTTACATTAGAGATTAGCTCATTTAAGAATTGTCTGTCTTGTATGTTGGTGTCTTTAATCATGTTATATCGTATCACTTTTGTATGAAGAAAATCTGTTAGTAATGGAATATTAGCAAGCAGCTGTGTTATGTACAATGGTGTGGTGACGTATAAATTACGTCAAAATTTGCTTTATCCTTAAATCGTGTCAACATCTATTGGGATCATCGACGGTCATTATTCATTGAGTATAACACATCAACCTCGTCAAAATCGCGAATTCATGATTATATTTAAATTATTATTACCATCATTTGTAATTGTATTTTCTTCTTTCTTACTATTAAAATAAAACTAGAGTTATTTCAAAATCCGTTACACTTCACAAGATCACTGATCATGAATTGATAACTAAAACAAGAACGATGATCATCCTGACAACTTTTTAATCATTCCAATTTCAAATAACAAAAAATAACGAAAACAAAATTTAAACAATAAAAAGAATTTATTTAAACATAAAAAGAATTCATATTCTTTCAAACGTTGTTAGTTTCTGTAGTTGTTGTTGTTGTTGTTGTTATTGTTGTTGTTGTGGTTGTTGTTGTTTCTGTTTCTTCTGTTGCTGTTGTAATTGTTGTTGTTGTTGTTGTTCTGGTTCTTGGTCTGTTTCTTGTCGGACGATTCTGCAATGATGGAGCACGATTGTTTCGGCCCCTGTTTCTTCGATTATTTCTGATCATATCTCTGATCAGTCTTGCTCGAAGTAAATCTTCCAAAATTTCGAAAGGAGTGTTTCGATCAGACATTTTGCATAATATTTGCGTATCTGATGTTTTGGGAGAGTAATTATGATTTTGTTTATGGTTCGTTTAAACATTTATATATCAAATTTGAATTATTATTACAAATCGAAATTCATTAATTAAGTAATTTAAATTTGATTCAATTCATTAGTGACCAACATAAACATTTAATCAAATTCTGATTGTTTGAATCAACAAAATCATCAAAAAATTCCACACATCTACAGAAACATTCAACCATTGTTATCAGAAAGTTGACCGCAGCTTATTCAAATCGAATCGCATGAAATGATTTTTATTTTTCATTTTTTGTTTGTTTTTGTATTTGAAATTGATCGCAGCAATATATACGCTATTTTTTCCAATTGGAAAATAATCCATTTTTCGATTAAAATTCACACAACAAAAAGAAAATCACTTCATTCAATTAGAATAAATGATAGTAAAAAAAAAATAGAAAATACATTCAAAAAAATTTCAACATAATTGTAAATTCATTCATTTATTTATTCAAACATTCATTCTAAATTGTAATCAGCAAGTTGTAAATTCGAATTCATTGCGGTCGAAAATATACAACGTTGCTTATGTTGTTGTTGTTATTGTCTGTTGTTGCTGCATTTGCAGCACTTGTTGAAGGTTGATTTTTCATTTCCTCCAAAATTTTGTAATAGTTTTCAACCATCTCATTGATGGTTGGAGGTTTTTTTTCTGTTGTTGTTGTTGCATTTGTTGTTGCTGCACTAGTTGATGCAGCACTTGTCGATGCTTGATCGACCATTTGTGGTGGGGGTTGATTATTTCGACCCCGAATGACACTTGGATCATTTCTTTCGTGTCTTTGTCGCATTTCATCAATGATTTCATCACGAATTTTGTAATAATTTTCCACCATTTCGTTAATGGTAGGCATCTTAGAAATGTTTTATATCAAATTTTGATTCAATTAAAAATATAAATAGAGTAGAATAATTATTAATTATTCGTAGGATTTGTTTTTGACATCTAAAATTATGGTTCGTTCAAACATTTATATATAAAATTTCTATAATTATTATGAATCAAACTTTATTATTTAAATAAATTAAATTTTATGATTTGATTCATTCATTCTTAGCAAATTAACAAACAATTAACATTTTTGTAACTTTTGTTTAAAATTAATTATAATATTTTTTTTAAACATGAACATTTTGGATAATCCATAGAATAGCATGACGAAATGTTTGTTTTTTTTCAGTAAATTCTTACTATTTATTCCCCATGTTCGGACACAAAAAGCAAAGCTAACATTTTTGATTCTGATTCCTTTATGTAATACTTAAACATAAAGGTCCAGAAAAAAAATCGATACAAATGAACGGTTGAACAAATTGTTTTTTTTTCAATCTGACAAAATCACAATAATAAATATATTTCTTGACTAAACGATAAAGATTAGGAATATTAAATTTGGAATGAATACTAGACCCATGGTGGTTTTGATACCCCCATGTAATGTCTTTTCATAGTTTGGCTCGTAATTAAAAAATTTAATTTTTGGTTTTGCTATGTGTTTATTTTTTTTATATAAAAAGAATAAAATGTAATAATTGATTTTTGATTTTGAATTTTATTTAATAAAAATTGATTTATTTTTTATCATTCATTCTTTGTAATTTCGGCCACGAAGTATTCGGCCGTTAATGTTATTGTTTGCAGTTGTTGGATCTGCAATTGTAAAATGAACCGGGCTCGGTGGAGTGTATTGCCGGCCATAAAAAAATTGGGTTTTTATTCGGTAATTTGTTGATTTTGAGAGATAATTAGCATTGATGGGTTGGAGGCATCGTCTGCCATTCAATTCATGTTGGCGAAATGATTCCAAATTTAGTGGATAATCTCGTATCCACTTTAGTATTTGTGCATCTGAATTTGGTTTTGCCATTTTTAAAATTGCTAAATTGATTCAATAGTATTGTTTTAATGAAAGTTTTTCGTAGAGTGATTAAAAAAACAAAAAAACAAACAAACAATTTTCGTAGCGTGATTAATAATAATAAATTAAAATTATTGATCGTTGAAATATCAAATTTTGATAATTATTATGAATCAAAATTTATTATTTAAATAAATTAAATTTGATTCAATTTTATTTATTTTATTTTATTCATTCTTAGCAAATAACATTTTTGTAACTTTTGTTTAAAATTAATTATATTATTTTTTTAGCCTGAACATTTTGGATAATCCATAGAATAGAACGTAACACCACCATTTCAAATTGAGGTTGTAGGGCGACCATGGAATAAGTGCCAGGTCTTAATCGGGACATTTTTTCATGATCAATTTCATTTGATTGTAATAAACCAAAATATTTTTATTTGTCTTTCCTGTTACGATAAATGTATTTGAAAATTTAAAAAAGTTTTATTGTTGTATAAAAAAACTACAACCGATGAACAATTTGGTATTTTTAAGGATTTATTAATTATAACTTAGATGTATAAAAAACAAAGATAAAAACAAATATCAATGTGATGATCTTTCACCCACTTGAGTAATTCCGAATTACTAGTTTGGTTATCCTCTATTGATTCAAATTTTCGAAACAAATGCACTGGATAAATAATGATCATTTAAATTGTAGAATGTGCAATTGAACAAAATATGTTGCGGACTTTGATATTCGTAACCACACTCACATTCTGGTGAA